GAAAATAAAATTTTAAATTAATCATGAATTTTGTTTGATTTCCCAAAAACATTAGTTATAGTACTTGCATACAAAGGTGGTTCAACAGAAAAACAATTTTTAAAAATGTTGACGACGAATGATAGAATTTTTAATATTGAAGAATACAAATGTCCAAAATACCATGATTTGGTAAATGTCATAAATTTAAACAAACGTTATATGTGTAATAATCATATATTTGCAAAAAATAATCACAAAATTTTACATTGTTCTTGTGACGAAGTGTGGGTTTTTTACAAGTGGTTATTGCTTGAAAATAAAATTTTAAATTAATCATGAATTTTGTTTGATTTCCCAAAAACATTAGTTATAGTACTCGCATACAAAGGTGGTTCAACAGAAAAACAATTTTTAAAAATGTTGATGACGAATGATAGAATTTTTAATAATGAAGAATACAAATGTCCAAAATACCATGATTTGGTAAATGTCATAAATTTAAACAAACGTTATGTGTGTAATAATCATATATTTGCAAAAAATAATCACAAAATTTTACATTGTTCTTGTGACGAAGTGTGGGTTTCTTACAAGGGGTTATTGCTTGAAAATAAAATTTTAAATTAATCATGAATTTTGTTTGATTTCACCCCTTAGAACTTTAGACGTGTGTAATGTTTCACTTTATACATCCGTTTACTGCTATTGTGGCAGGACCAAGTGGATGTGGGAAGTCAAATTTTGTAACAAATTTCATAAAATCAATTACAGAAATATGTAATTGTGATTTTAATCAGATCACATGGTGCTTTGATGAAATGCAACCTTTATATAATTTACCAAATGTTAACTATCATCAAGGAATTCCAAATCTTAATATGTTTGATGGTGAAACTCAACAAATAACCATCTTTTAATAATAGTATATTTACATCAGCATATCATACTCTATTCTCGGGGACTGGTATTCACTTTCTTAATGAAGGAAATGGAATCTCTTGTGAACAGTATGTCAAAGGTTACTGTCTGTTAGCATTTGACTTAACTCCTGATTTATCAGCCAACTCTTCAGCTCATTGGAATCTCATAAAGCATGGTTGTGTAAAATTAGAAGTACGATTTGAATCCTCACTAATACAATCAATTAACTGTATAGTTTATGCTGAGTTTGATAATATTATTGAGATAGATAAAAACAGAAATGTTACTGTAGACTATAGTAATTAAGGTTATAATATGTGTTGTGTGTTAGATTTTATGTGTTATGTGTAATGCATTTTGTGTGTATGTAACTATGTAAATCGTTATAAAATTAAATAAAACAAATTGTATGCAATATATTATTTTTTATTTCTTTATAAATCTTCTATATAAAACACTGTTCGAGTTTAAAGTTACATCGTACTCTCTAATTAGATCATCAATTATAACGAGATGTGGACTTTGACCATCAAACATATTAAGATTTGGAATTCCTTGATGGTAGTTAACATTTGGTAAATTATATAAAGGTTGCATTTCATCAAAGCACCATGTGATCTGATTAAAATCACAATTATATATTTCTGTAACTAATTTTATGAAATTTGTTACAAAATTTGACTTCCCACATCCACTTGATCCTGCTACAATAGCAGTAAATGGATGTGTGACAGTGAAACATTACTCACGTATAAAGTTCTAAGGGGTGAAATCAAACAAAATTTATGATTAATTTAAAATTTTATTTTCAAGCAATAACCACTTGCAAAAACCCACACTTCGTCACAAGAACAATGTAAAATTTTGTGATTATTTTTTGCAAATATATGATTATTACGCACATAACGTTTGTTTAAATTTATGATATTTACCAAATCATTGTATTTTGGACATTTGTATTCTTTAATATTAAAAATTCTATCATTCGTCGTCAACATTTTTAAAAATTGTTTTTCTGTTGAACCACATTTGTATGCGAGTACTATAACTATAATGTTTTTGGGAAATCAAACAAAATTCATGATTACGGTGGAGACCATCACCGGATATCAATTAGATAAGAGTTAATTGATCTGCACATCTCCGGAACCGTGCATCCTACGCAAAAATGGACCGCAGATTCGTGATCAGAGCATGCCAACAAATGATCATGTTTTATTATTTATCACAATTATAAAACATGATCATTTGTTCCTTTAATACACCATTAACATTTTCATCAGATTAGATACCTATGTAAATATTATAGTTGGATACCGTTTCCGTTTTATTGCCCAGGAGTGGATTCTAAGGAAAACACTGTAAGTTCTTCCTTACTAATAATCACGGCTAGTAATCATACCTATTAGTTTTAACTTAAAAAGTTAGTCATAGTTTTATATTGTAGTGCAATTAAGAAATTGAAATTTAATGAAATATTTTGACACCGAATTAATGTAAATGGTCTGCAAACTGATAGGTAAGAGTAATCAATAATTTTACTAAATTTTAACATTTTTGTAAGTTTACGATTATCATAATAAGCCTGCGACTGTCCACAGTTGGGCAAAGCCTCTGTAGTCTGTAGCGAAATGTTGAAATGATATCGTTTAATATTAATAATTTAATAACAATACAACAGGTAGTGTAGGTACAAAGTGATATAGGTATTGGTATACTTACCTATATTTAAACAGTATTAATATACATACCTATCGTTATTTTGTGTATACTCAATATACACTATTGAAATGTTAAATTTCTGATTTACAATGATTTTTGAATATATGTCAATGCTGATTAGTATTTAATATCGAATCAGTTTATGCATAAATTAACGCAGATCGCAAAACGATCATATAAATTTATATTCGCTCTTGTACTAGTACTAGCATTATACGCGTCGTCATTCATTCGATATTATTATTGCTCTTGTCAGTCTCGGCGCTCTGTTTTAGCCGAGCGAGCGAGGTCATTATGTACAAAAGCGTTATGCGACCTGTTCTGATAATAAATTCTTCTCTGCGGTAGCGGGGCAGGGGGGGGCTCCGCAGCAAATGGCGTCGGCCGTAGAAAGTGCAGAAAGGGAGGGCTATGCATTGTACCCGCTTTGTGTGAGCGAGATAATACATAGCAGCGGCGTCAACCACCTAGGAATTTGCCAGCCAGCCAATACTGGCACTTCGGTGTACTGGCATTGGCATCCGCGTCTGCTCAGAGTAGGTACGCTTGCGAGTGAGCGAAACGGAATTTTATTATTCGGTCGGCCTAGATAGCTTGGCATAATATTCGATCGAAACGACGAGACATTCGGTCGGTGGCACAAGTAACTTTTTGTCACAATATTTTTATTCCAATTACAGTTGTAATTTACATAATTTAATTACAGTTGTAATATTTCATATTGAAAGTACATCCGGTTTTGAAATAAGTTGTGAATTAATCGTCGCCCACTTGAGGAGCCTTGGTTATTTCTCAGCGTTTTGTCACAGATTTATTTGACCGGCCATTTTGTACTTTCGTGCTGTTGAAAAACTAACACATCTTGTGTTTGTGTATTTCTTTTTCTTTGTGTTTAACATTAGTTAAATGTTGTTTTAAAATAATTTACGAGTTGGTTTCCTAGAAGTTTCTGTGTTATTTAAAACTGTATAAATGGAACTTAAGACTTGTGGCGAATTTGATGTGAATATATCAATAACACAAAATTGTATTGGAAAATAAAACCAACAGGAGAACATACATAATATTCATAATATAACATCTTTCGCTGGATAATGAACGTAAGTTCTATTGATTATACATAATTACATTAATTTGGTTAAATTATTTTGTTTGGTTAGAATAGAAATAGAACTAAACCGGCATGCTGAAATATAAAACGCTATTTTATTAATATTATTACTTACCTAAATAATATCAAAGATATGTACCTATAGATACAATATTTAAACAACTAAACTAGGCTATATAGTAGGTGCATTGGATTTGCGAAATTTATGAATAAATAGCGTAAAAAATGGAACACCCAATGTTAATCGGGCTTCGATTCGAAAGATGTTTTAAAGTTACTCTCAGTAATTTTAAAGTTACCTTTGTTTACCAACATTCGAATCGGAGGCAGTATTTTGCAAAACGCATTTTCATTTCACAGAAAGCGCCTAGTTGCATGCAAGTTTCAAGTTGAAATGCATTTATACTCGGTGTAGATATTCAGTTAAAAAAATCTTAGCTACCTATAACTAATATTATGTGGAATACAGCATAGAAATATTATAAAAAAACAATAGTATATATTTTTTATGTTTATATTGAACATACCCAGTTATAGTTTTGAAATGTTTAATATTGCATGTTTTATGAGAACTGGCCTTAGCAAAACATGTGCTTGCTTATTTTATGTGACATTTTTAAAAATTAATTTCAAGTAAGCATTAAACATTTAAATTTTTGTCAACATTACCTTTGTTATCACTTATCATTGATCAATTAAGTAAATTCAATATAAACATTTTAATAACAATGTTTTGCACACATATCCAACTCAGACCTATTTCAAAACTTCTAATTTAAAACTAAAAATTTTTTTTAAACTAAACATTTGAATTTATTTCTTTACATTTTCCTTTATTAAGATTTAAACATCCTCTGTTATTTTCATATTATTAAACCTTCATCTATAACATAAATATTAAACTAAAAATAAGGATCACTTTCATAAATATTTACATGAAGTATAACTTATTCTGTTTTTATGTATTATATAACTTATTCTGTATTGTAATACCAGCTATCCGACCCGGCTTCACATGGGTGATTTCTGGATCTCGACAACAGCTCCACCTACTGGGTCCAAATGTAAATCTTAACCATTCAGGGACCCATTCAAATACACACAAAAAGTTTTATCTAAATCGGTCTAGCCATTTTTGAATTTTACTTTACGTTAGTATTAACAGAATATTAGAAGCTAACCAAGTTTATATTCTGGAAATAAAAGAAAAATAAAAGTCCAGACTTGGTTAAATTATTAAGAAGCTTCACTTGTTTACAGGTGTATGATGGCAACAAAGCTTGAATCAGAATACCCACACTCACCAACAAACGATGAATCAGGTTTGTTTTGATTTTGTTCTGTTTTATTTTTTATTACAAATCTCGATATTGAATATTTAATACTTTATTTTATTATTTGAAATATATCCTTTTGAATTGTTTTATAAAATAAAATTTGTAGATATACTTTACCTTCTGTCGTTCATTTGTTCAATTCAGTTATTTATATTCAGTTATTATAACATTAGGATATCTTGAAACAGTAACATATGTTTCATTTATTGTTGGGTTGAGTACATGCAATTGATGAAATATGAATTTATGACTATGAATAACAGTAATTTACTAAACAGTCTCTTATTCTATTTTACTTTTATGAAGGTCTATGATGTTATCTACAAGAAAGAAAAAAAAACCGTATTTGACTATAAAGATTCTTATGTAATAAATGATTTAACATATATTTTTAATCTACACAACAACCCTAATTTCCACATTTAAAAATTAAAATAAAACTTATTAAAAGAAGAAGATGAAGACCATGATAGCTTACTGTTGTTCTTAGCAGTGTGTCTTAAATCTCCCCCTCGCTCCGTTCAAGTCCTTCATTCTTTTCTAGCTACAAATCTACTCTGTCATAGCTTTCATAATTTTCCTATAACTTGTTTATTAATCCCCCACCAAATGCTAGTAAATATTCTTGCTCCAATTTCATATTGTCATTTACCAGTTGGGAAGTGCATAAGGCACTAAAGAGTATGAAATACAGCAAGAGTCCTGGCGATGATGGTATTGTATTATAAAAATAAGAGAGCCAGTCCTACTACATATCACTAACCTCTTTAACAATATTTTTCAAACTGGAGTAATATATTGCAAATTTTATCATTCACAAATTATCCTCATTCATAAAAAGGGTGACAAAACAGATGTTGGCAATTACTGCCCCATTAATCTGATGTCACATTTGAAGGTGTCGTTAAAGTAATCAAGAACTGAACTGGGTTACTTGATAAACATCAGCTTCCCGAGCAGGCCGGTATTTGCTGTGGCCTTCCATCTACTGACCACCTCCACTCCATCAATCAAGTCATCAAAAAACATCTAGAATTTCAGCTCCCACTTTACTTAGCTTTTGTAGACACAAATCAATTTTCAAAGCTTTACAGAATCAAAATATATACACCACATACATCCAACTTGTACAAATATTTACGAGGATAGCACTGCATCCATTAATATTAGTATGACAGGCTCATCTTTTTGCATAAGTAATGGTGGTATCTTCAAAATTATATTGTATTAGAAGAGTTCTTTAGAATGCTGTGTGGATAGGAGCATTTAAGTTGGACATGTGAGAATTCAAGGACAATATTGTACTCTTTTCCTCATCAGTTGATGAGTTGACTAGTTTACTTCTGTACTTGTGTACTTGCTAGATGATCCAGCCTCGAGGTTGGACTTTGAATGAACATGTCAAAGACAAAGTTGATGACGAACAGCTTATATCACAAGATTACTTAAGAGGGTGTGGAGATTGCATATGTGGATGAGTATCTATTTGGGCTAAATAGTCTTTCCCGGGCAAGACGAGGAAGTTGCGAGATGCACCGAAAACGCCTGGAAGAGCTATTGGTCTGTGAAAGATCTCATGAAGAATGATTTTTCTCTGACCTTGAAGAGGAGACTCATGGACGTGTGCATGCTCACCTTTGGTGCCCAGACATGGTGTTTGACGGTCCAGCAGAGGTCCACACTTGGTCTGGCTTGGAGGTTTGTCAAAGAGCAATGGAATGGAATATTCTGTGCATTAAAATTGTTGACAGGATTAGGAATACTGAAATCCATTCGAGATTGAAAACTTCTGATGTCACACAAAAAGCTGCTACACTAAAATGGGACTGGGCTGGACTCATCTGCCGATTGCCAAATGAGCCAAAGTGACAACTTAACGGGTCCCTATATAAGGACAAATGTCAAACCAAGGCAGAGATGGCGGGATGAACTGGATTCCTTCATTAAGGACTGGTCTGTTTTGGCTCTGGAGAGAGAAGTGAAAAGAGAGTAGGTAGGCCCTGCAGTAAAAAAATTCAGTTAAATACAATAATTTATTTACTTTTTTAACATAAAAATCATACAATATAATTATTTTAAGATATACTAAACTGTGAAACAATTTGTCTGCAGAAACTGCTCTGCTAGAAATTATTCAGAGATTTACAAACACTAATATTATGTGATCTTATATTACGTGATTTATAAACCTAAATTATGTTAGTGTATAAATATATAACTTTTGGCATACTAAAAGCGATAATATACAGTACAATTTTTGATTATGTTTCGGCTCACCCTAAATTTAAATGATTCTTTTATCATTCTTCTTAATATTCTTTTACCTACCTACATACTTGTAAGTAAGAGAACCATTCTGCAGCTATATTATGATTGTTGCATGGATGGGTTGAATTGACCAGAAAAGGACCACACTCTCACAGAATAACAGCAGAAATAGCAGTTTAATGCTTCTGTTTCATATGGTCAGTGTTGAGAGCCGGAGACCCTTTTTACTGAAAACCAGATATTCCTCTTCAAAAGGTGCATTGCTTTTGATTCTTAATCGAGGGTAGATGTATATGTATGTCTAAGGGCCGTAGCATCCACTTAACGGCAGGTAGACTCTGTGCTCGTGTGTCACATTTAAATGATCTGTACTTTCTCTATAAGAAAGTTACTTTTTTGTATTCCCGCAAGCCCTCAACCATTTTTTTATATCTCCTCATCTAAATTAACGGTGGTTAATATAGCGCATAGCACCATATTATAGCGCGCTATCTCTCCAAACACATAGCGCGTGCTATATAACTTATATAAGCTATGTAATACCTATATCTAGCGGCAACTACAACTAGTTCTAGCAGCAGCGCTGTTGGGAGAGGACGTGTGATACAAATTTGATCTAGCAGCACGCTATTCATCGCGCGCGAACTAATTTAGTGTTAGACGTTGTTTAGTAGTGTATACTTTTATATTTATAAGTGATCGAAGATCACACTTGTCTGCTATAAAAGAAGCCTAACTAATGTTTTTAAATGTAAATAAAATATATATACAAAAGTGTATATTGTGTATGTAAATAGTTGATTTTTATAAATACAATCAATAAACGTTTAAATACACAGTTATTTGATTTATAATTTATATTAAGGTTAAAATAACTTTTACATCAATTATAATAAAAAATAAATTATTTTATTTCGTTTTAAAAAGTAAATGCCTTAAAAATATTTTTAGGATTATAGAAAGTCGTAAGCCTGAAAAGTATGAAAAAGCGTTCGTTGGTTTTTCTTTACCGCTTTAATATATTTAAGTCCAAAGTGCGACTTATTACGAAATAATGTTCTTGTATAGCACGCGGTCTATACAATGAACGACATGTAATGTAACACGTGCTACGTGATATAGCGTGCTGCAAAAAGGCGCTTTCCGGCCTCCTAAACGCTTTCTTATAACATAGCGTATGTAATAGCGCGCTAGAAATGTATACTTTATAGTCTGTAGCGTGGTATTGATTTATAGTTGTTTTGAACAACTTTAAATCAATTACCGTTTTTCTTTTTTTCCTTTTCCCCCAGTGCCACTTATTTGAGATTTGACTGAATTGGTAAAATTTTATTATGTTGGTATATATAACTTGATTTTCTTGATATACATTGAAAGAATTTTAATATCATATTATAATCCTAGCTTGATTGCTTCTACTGTTTCTTTTAGTAGGATTTCTAGTAATGGTTTCTTTATATGATCATAGTTGGTAGAATCTGATTTTGTATTTGAGTTTTGTAGTATTCATTCAATGATAATAATCTAAATAAATTTCCTGATTTCTTTGTTTTTCTGAATTTTTAGATATGTCATCCAATTTTTTTTTTGTCTGATTTAATTGTATCAGTACTTTTATTATTTTCTTTCTCTTATTGTTTTATTAAATTGATTTTGATATTTTTTTTTAGTTTAACTTAGGTTTTTTGTTGATTTATTGGACTTCTAGTTAATATTGCAAGGTTCAAGTATAATTTACTACATCTTTGTTGTACAGTTTGTGCTTCTTTGATTTGATATTATGATCTTTATCAAAAGTGTCTAATCTGTTTAGCAATTTTTTTTGTTTCCTTTGCATATTGAGGATCTATTTCTTCATAGAAGTTGCTTGGTTTTCTTTTGAGGTATAGTTCCATGGTCCATATTAAAAATTTATAGTACTCGCATAACTTACCTCATTTGACAAAATAAACCTTTTTTTGATATTTAATTAGGTGCAACTCTCGTCACTTTTTGAAAGTTCTATTTAAAGAAGCTATTCAACATACATAATTTGTTCCATAATGCCAGATTTACAAATCTAAAGTTAACCCATAATGCCATTCTTCACTAAGCATGTATGTGCCTATTTTAAGGTTTAAGCCACCCATTACTATTATATTAAAAAATTGTAAATCTTTGTAAAATGTTTCTATATTAGAATTTGTTAGGCTGCTTTTTTAAACGCATGTTTGAATTTATAACCCATAATTCTTCTTTTGCTTGGTATTTTGATAGTACTAAAATTTAAAATTGCTACGCTTTCAGTGTCCTATTATTTATTTTATTTGTCTGCTTGGGTGTCTCTCTATCAAAAATTCTACTGCATAAGATGATGAATGAATTACAATCCTTTCTTTTACACATTATATTTCTCTCGGAGAGGTGTGGCCATATTCTCTAATGATAACTCCATGATGCCCTTGGAAATTAAACTGTATTTTATTACTGTTGTAAATAATGTTGATTATCCGTCGTGTCACACACCTGAACACGTACGCTCTTGCCGTTCCATTGAGCTAGCCTAGCGTGTGGAGAGTTCCGCTCGCCTTGGCACTACTCGCCTCGCCTGAGCGCCTCTTACGAGCTTGAACTGCTACCATGAAAATAAGGCAGTCAAAGATTCGTGATTAAAACTTTTATTACACTCAGACTATAATATTCTGAATGCTAAAAGAATTATGACCTTCTATTATTTGACTTTTTTGACATTCAGTATTTGAGTTAACATGCAGACCCTATATGGTGGGTGTACCAAGACCATTCTAACAAATAAACAGTTATTATTCGTTTATTTACTGGATAAATGAAACTAACAAATTTTTAAGTAATACTTTGTTTTATTATGTAACATATAAAACACTTTAAATTGCAGATTTAATTAATATTGATTGAACTTAAGTTTCATTGAACTCTTCCAAATGGCCTTGCTAGGAACAAAGCTTCTTAGAATGCCATTATAATAAATCAGTCATTTAACACTAAAGTTTAATAAATAGCGATTAAATCTACAATAAAAAGAAGTGGTTCGTAATAAAACAAAGAATTACTTAAATTGTTAGTTTCATTTATCTAGTAAATAAACGAATAATAACTGTTCATTTGTTAGCATGGCCTTCCATGGTACACCCACCTTATTTTAACGATTCCCGAAATCAATGAAGCGAGGGACCGTACTGCCAAAATGGTAGCGCGAGCGATTCGCCGCCGCGTCTGTGGTTTTCAGTTCGATGGGTGTTTGTGTAAATAGAAAGAATTTGTCACCACAGGGCAATAACTACATTTTAATAAGTGGCCTTCGAAGGAGCATGGCCTTCCATGGTACACCCATCTTATATAGCAATATTCGACTACGAGTTCTGACGTAGTTCTAACCCAGCAGAAAGTTCTCGATATTAGTGCTGCATTTGGAGAAGGTAAGATTACAGAACGCACAGTGCCTTTTTGATTTAATCGCTTTCGTGTTTGAAACTTTGACTTGAAATAATAACAACAAGGGAGATTAGGCAGTAAATAACGATTAATTAATGGAGGAAGCCGAAATCACACAACCAAGAAAAAAGCGTCATGATTTGACGTTAGCTTACCCACAATTTTGATTAATTTGCACTAAATTTGTGAAATATAAAATCATTAAAGTCGAGTAGTCACCCACGTGATTCGTGACACAGACACTCATGAATTAACTTATGTGCATAATGGAGCATGCATGCGTTGAAGCATACCTTGCTGTGGTAAGTAGATACAGAAATAAAGGGATTTTGGTTGGATCACAACCCAGGTCAATTACCGGAACAATGCCCTAAAGCGAAGCTAATCAATAGAAAAGTAATAATGGTGACTGTTTGGCGTTTACTTCATGGTTTAATTCACTATAGCTTTTTGAAATTCGGTGTATCAATAGCAGCAAATGTCTATCGTGAAGAGTTTTGAACAAGATGGTGAAGTTCTCAGAGAAAACCCTGACTCCTCAATTGTTCGCCAATTATTGCTCCTTAATAAAGCAAGTACTTCACACTGCTCGAAAAATGAGCTGACAAAGTATATAAGACAATGCGGTTTAAGTGTGGAAATACAATTAAGTCCTTTGTTAGTAAAAAATTACATTACATCCCGAATCCTTGATAACCTGTTAGTATAAGCACTATTTAACACGTGCTACATAGGTTGTTTGAGAGCCGTGGTAGCTTAGATGGTTAACGCTCGCTGTAAATATAACAGAACGCGAGTAACACGGGTTCGATCCCCGCCGGCACCAATGAAATTGTTAATTGCAATTTTAAGTGCTGATTTACCACGTGCTCGTCGGTGAAATAAAACATCGTGAGGAAACCTGCATGTCTGAAGAATAAAAAAAATATTTCGAAGACTTGTGAAGTTCGCCAACACGCATTGGGGCAGCGCGGCGGACACTTTCTTGCCCTAAAACCCTCTCAGAAATGAGGGGAGGCCTGTGCCCAGCTGTGGGACGTATATAGGCTATAAATTTAATTTACTTTTACATGGGTTGTTGCAATACCTGATTTTCAGTGCTTCGCCTTTCGTAAAGAATAGACGTGATGTGAGTGCGCGGGCGCATGCCATTCCGTAGGACCTAGGGTCCGACTAAACTTGTGATCACCGAGCTCGCGATGGATTGTATACACTACAAAATATTATCGAATGAAACTAATTTGATGGATTTTATCGCGTTAAATAACTTTTTTTTATATTCCCGACGTTTCGGGAAATGCGATTAAAGTAATGTAAAGTAGACAAAAATATCACTAGATCGCTACTCTTTGCTAGTGTTCACTCTATGTGCGTTGATCATCTATTAATCCCAAATTTACCTTCGTTGGCTTTTGTTCAGTTTCAGTTCCAATTGTGGCACCTTTGCACCATTTAACCCATGATAGCGACTGTCACCTAGTCTTATAAAAAAATCCACATTTGTCCCATTCTTGAATACGTTAAGACAATGTTTCTCAACGTTTTCGAATTGATGACACCTTGTATAGTTAAAAAAAATTGGCGACCATTCATTCATTCATTCACTCCAAAGAAGAGTAACACAAGAAAAAGACACAATAGTTTAACAATCGAAATGTTCGTAATGATTCTATGGACAGGGAAAGGGTTAAGCAATCATAAGCCAACAAGGAAGGATGATAAAGTTTTTATTAAGGATATTTTGAATGACTTTTTATCAACTATAGTAACGGCCCCCTAGCTAAGAATAAGTTTCATATATGATCACCGAGCTTGGTAGTGGTTGCCTAGCTGGTAGCTGGTAGTGCGAGATGGTTTGTGATGGCCCTATTTTAAGCTTCCTAAACTTGCAACGATTCACTGTTGGATAATAGCTTCCATTGTAGTTCTTCAAGATACCGTGCTACAGTGTATTATCGTACTACGTGGTAGAGGCGTGAGATATTCATCACGCTATTTTGTCTCGTGGGACTATAGGATAAGCCAAAAAGATCTAATGGCTTTCGATAGATGGCGCTGTAAACAAATCTTTACGTGAGGCGTAAACCCGCACAGCACAGGGAAATGTCTGCTACAGCGATTGTAAATTCACGAAGCCAAGCGTGACGGACGATTAAGGCTTACAATGGAAGAGGACTATCCTCCAGACTTTTACGGCCTTATGATGAAGAAGAACTACCAGATACGTGTAACCTCTTCTCGTTTACGTAAAACTGTAAGAAATATTTTTTTGTGCAGAAATAAATAACTATTAAAGATGCCTGCGAAATGGAAGTAGAGTTTCAAATACCGAGGCGTATCTGTAATGTGGGCAGCTAGACTAGAGACTATTCTTTTCTTATGGTAGAGAGGAACGCCACGTTTCGCTGGATGATTTATGATCCAATTACCAGATAGGTCCTACACTTTACACGCTACTCTTGGCGTCGATCTGGAATTTATCATATTGAGATCTTACAACAATTTAAATAGTCGCCACTCAGGGTAGTTGAATTTGTATCGATCATTTCATAAGGTTTTCCTATTTCGTTGACGTTTAGGGCGTGAAGTTGTCAGTAAACCTAATCTCTCTGGCCTGCCAATGCGCGCTTGTAATATACATTTGCATGTGCATGTATTAGGATATAGTAGTAAAAGAGTTTAAATTTCATTTTTCCTGGAATATTTAAATTTGTACTAATATGTTAACCGAGTATTTAAATTATTAAATTTGTCGGTCACTGCAGTAAGAATTAATGAAGTAAGGCTGATGGATCAATTAGACTTAATAACGCAAGAAGTATTCAAACCACTAAAGTTGCTTTTGAGATACTATAAATTTAAGTTCGGTATTCAGTGATAATGGCTGCTTTCAATCTGTTTATATCTTTATTATTGACTTTGATTTTTGCAAAAATTTACTGTATAAAAGTAAATTTTTTTGTTATAAACAAGTTTGTCACTTTATACCTTAAATGTGAGTTGAATCCTTTTCACATTGATAACAGTTTAAAATGTGGAAAAAAATGAACATAACTACATACCTAAAAATGTATCGTGGTCTTGCTAGGTTTATTGGCCCTTTTAAAATTTCTGAATTGTCACCTAAGGGTTAGAAATAATGTTTTCCACGCACTTATGAAAGTCATACACACACACACAACATTTTTAGTCCGTTCTGATGTTCAGTATCAAAGACTCGATCACCACTGCTAACTGCTAACAAGTAATTCCACTGTTATCTACGTAATATTGTTTGTATTCTCAAATTAAAAAGATGGTTTTCCATCTAGGTGGTAAATGTCATCGTACGTTTTGCGGATATCAAATATCTTGGTACTTGTATTCTTAACCATTGGCAATAAAGAGAGCTTTGCTCACATTTTCTGTTATGCTATGCTATGGTAGAGGCCTGAGTGCAGTAGCCACGTATAATATAGGCTATTAATATGTTAAATCACGATGCGTCAAAAAATGCAAAAAGAAAGGTTAAAGAATATTCCTCAACTCATTTAATTATCTAAAAAAAATCATTCAAATTTTCACATTCATTAATCAAACTAAAATTGAGCGTTGACGAAGGATTTGATAAATTGGTATATTTTATAATTTCAGATGGTGAGGGAGATGATACTGTAAAAAACAAGGGTGAGGATACTGTAGAAAACAGTTACGAAGAAGAGGAAGAAGGCAAGGAAGAAGGGGACGAAGAAGAGAAGGAAGAAGAAGACGAAGAAGAAAAGGAAGAAGACTGCGAAGAAGAGAAGGAAGAAGAGGACGACGAAGAGAACAAACATCCAGTAGATAATGATTTTGCGAATATATTAAAAAAACTTGAATCGGTAGGCGCTCTATTAAAAAAGCCTAAAAGAGAAGAAGAGTATCGCTGTTATACTTGTGACGAAGATTTCTCAAATTGGGATAGTTTAAATAATCATTTATTTCAACACGTGTCCTTGCCCTCAGTGGTGCTTGACAAGCTGCCGTCAGACGAAGAAGACACGGCTCCATCCGGAGATGAAAATTGGTCCGACGAAGATGTACCTCAGCCTCCACCTAAATCCGATGCGAAAAAAGCGCCGCAAAAAGTTGACATATCTCAGATTTTAAAGAAAACAGGTTTATCTATTAAAAAGACAGGGGACACTGATAAAAGCTCTGATGCCGCCTTAAACAAATTGAGTGGCTTGGGTTTTACCATAAAGAAAAATTCAACTCCTATTAAAAAAGAAAAAGTTGATGAACCTGAACAACAAAATGAAAGTGATTTAATGAAAAAGTTAGGGAAACTAGGAGGCATTAAATTGAAGCTTAAATCGGATGGCAACAATACTAACACATTTAAAGTAATAAATGGCTTAAAAGACTTTAAAGCATCTGATGATGAAGATGAAGGAAGTGAAAACGAGGATAGCAAAAATGATGAAGATTCGAGTGAAGATGTTAAACGTAAAAATCAAGAAGCAGATTGTGACCAGGAGTCTGACGAAAACCAATCCGTTAATAATAGTCGTAGGAGTTCTGAAAACAGTGAATCTGGAAGAAGTAACAGAGGTAACCAAATCAAAAGTAAAATTAAAACTGAACCGATTACAACTCCAAAAAAAGCAGGTCCAGCTAGCAAAACGTCTAACGAATGTTCTAGTAAATCAACAAAGGAACCACCAGCTAAGACATCTGTTAATGAGAATCAAGTTAAGGCTAAATCACCATCTAAAATAACTGCTAAAGAAACGCCTCCTGCTAGGCCTTCTGGAAGACCGTCAGTCAAACAAACTCCGAAAAGGGGAACTAACAATGCTCTACCGATAAAGATACAAGATCAACCAAAAGCTATTAAAAAGGATTCATCACCAGTAAAAGAGTTACCAGCGGCAACACCGGAAAGGCGAGAGTCAAATAATGACATCAATCTTGACAATGTTGTTGTGAAAAAAGAGGTACCAGAGCCTGTAAGCTCAGAGTCACAATCGTCAAATACACCTTTATTCTCTGGCCATATTAAATCTGAAAGGTCTTCGCCGATTCCACCAGATCGAGCAGTTACCCCAGTACTAGCTAGGGTTAAAACAGAACCGGATGTTCCAGCCACTACTAGTTCTCAACCAATTTTTAGTCCATCAAATACAACAAGTGCACCAGTTACTCCTCTTCTTCCAGTTACTAAGACAGAGGATACAAGTATGACAATAATTGAGATTAATGGTGATTCTAATGACGAAGATGATGATTGTTGTGTTGTGTCTTCTACACCTGCTCCTGATGTAAAACCGATTATTCCGAAAACTGAGAATCTACCGCAACAGCTACCACCTGCGTACCCAACATCAATGTCTTATCCAACTTCAGTACAATCAAGCTATAACACAGCGCCTTCACTCTCGTCTCGACTTTCAGCTACACCGTCCACAGAAAAACAACATAACTTTAATTGGAATGCCCCGGACTCGAAACCACCAATAGATATGCTTGAAAAAAGTGCCGATGAAATTTTCGAAAGCCTTCTTTCATCATCTACTAAAAAAGAAAATATGTCATTACTGTCTGACGCAAGTGAGTACATATCCCTCGATACATTAGGCCCACAGCATTCATGTGAGATCTGCAACACCAGATTTACTGATATATCACTTCTTGAAGAGCATAGAAGAATTTCAGGCCATTCTAATAGCCTAATGAATGCATCATCTTCCACACTTATGCCATATAACCCTTCATCGAATATTTTATCTAGCCTGTTACCAGTTAAACAGCTAGCAGAACAAGTTGGAAAGTTGTCGACTATTGGTGGAAGCAGTAGTTCAGGCTTTACACATCAGCAAAATGTAATGATTAATATCCAAGCTTATCCTGGAGGAGGAGGAGTTATGGTACCGCCGCAACCCTACAACGCATACGCTCCACCGCAAGCAGGGTACCCTCCAGCACCAAATAACATGTACTCATCCCCAGGACAGACTATGCCAGGCCAGTATCCAGGCTCTAATTACGGTCAATCTAGTTATGGCCAGTATCCGTCGCCTATGTCAAAGGCTTGTTATCCAGGGACAATGCCGCAAAACATTTACTCTAATGCACCTTCACTTTATTCAACTGCCTCTCCACTTCAGAGTATGCAGCAGTCTGTATATGGCCAAACTGCTCCTGGTTTACATAATCAACAAACTGTTATGGGACCCCCTGGTTCCTCGCCTGGCCAAGGTTACGCGTCTGCTCCTAGTCCTAGTGCAAAACAATCGCCAAGCAACATCAGAATTCAGAATGTACAAACTTTTCCTCCTGGTCAAATGGTAGGGTCAGCACAATCCATGAACAATCAATCAATGGGTCAAGTTATGGGATCTAACCAACAACATATGCACGGTCAAGAAATGTCTTCAGGACAGGCAGTCCCAGGACAAATTACAGCACCTACTCAAATTCGAATGGCAGCGGGTGCTAATGTAACAGGTTCGAGGCCGCGAATGCCGAACATTCGAGGTACTCGACCATCTATACGACCTGGAATTCAAGTGCATGGACAAGTTAGAGGTGCAGTAAAACAAGGACCTCGTATGCCATTAAAAAGGCCAGGAACTGTAGTTGGTGGACCTGTGCAGAAGAGGCGGCCCGACATGTTGCTTCCTGGCAAGCACGACAATGAGGACTGCCAAGTAATGGCTATGCAAAAACAACGTGATGGCTTGCCCATGATTCAGAGTGTGCAAGGTGCCAAAGATAAGTTGAATCTTGGTAGTCAAATTTCTATAACTAAGAAAACTGTAAATAAGGAAGCAAATGCGATGGCAAACGTGTTAGCATCTAGGGGTATTAGTGTGAAGCAAAAGCAGAAAAGTCGGTCGCCCTCGCCACAACGTCCACTCCCTAACATACCTAACCTTGGCGCTGGTGTCAGCATTAAACATTCTTCAAAGTCTAGCAATTTTTCGATACCAGAAGCAAAGGTCGGTGGTGGTATGATGGCATGCAAAATATGCAAGAAAATGTTCATGAACTCTACATCTTTATCGGTACACATGACAAATGCTCACCCACAAAGCAAAATACCTGTATTCAAATGTGACGAATGTCCAGCTTCTTACCCAAAGTCATTACAGCTGCAGCACCATAAAAGGGTATTTCATAATGTTTCTGGTCCTAATAGGGAATTAGGATTGCCAGTTGTAGATTTATCTCAAGAAGATAACTTAAAACGATTGAGTAGTTTAGGTATATACAGTTTTATTCCACTTGCAAATCGGGAGCAAGCGAATGGATGCTTTGGCATTCCGGTGATATCAGTGCACAATGTTCAGAATGGCATGACGAGTAGTTTGCAAGCGCTTGGTGCTGATGGACTTTTAAGCTTAGGACCTCTCAAACCTTTACCAAATTCATAAAATATTAAAACTCCATAAAGTGTGTTTATAATATAACAATTTATATAAGCATAACATAATTCTATCTTTGTTTTGATTTGTCTTTAAAGTATTATCTGAAATTTCTTCTAAATTGGTTATCATTATGTGAGTAGACTATTTATTTATTCATGCAAAACAAATTAATGCGTTGCAATTCTCTGACAATACTTATTACATGATTTAGTTTAAAGATATATCTAATTTTAGTTAAAACTAACTAGTATGTCAAAACTTACAAGGTTTAGTAAAAGAGTGAGATGATTGAATTGCGTTTTTAGTTTGTTCGTAACTTTTTGTAAGTACTGAAACATTGTTGTCAGTGTGACTGTTAAGTTTATTGCAATCCATTAAATATAAGGATATATTTTCTTATGTCTACAATTTATTAAGAGGAAATACATGAAAATGTATTTAGTGTTAAGAAAGTTACTATTAAAATGTCTCATTAATTAAATCTTATAGATTTAAGTGCAATTTAATATATCATGGGAAATTGATACAGAAATAAACCACTGAGAAGAATTTCTGAATGGATTCAAATATTATTTTGAGTTCAATGCATCAAAATGGAAACTTGATTAAATTCTAATAGATGGTGTTTCCTTTATTGTTAATCTTTATTCGACTATAAAAATTGTGTTCTAAAGTTTGTGAGAAACAGTTAAAACACATCTCAAATTTGCATTGTAGGAAATTATTGATGCATCTCAATCATAATTAGGCTTTTGGGCTCTCAACAGTGGTCTTGTTATGTGTCAATGTCATTATTCATGCGTAGAAATACAGCAGAATCTGTAAAAAGCGATCTTCAACTACACGACCAGATTATTTATCGTGTTATGTTTATATGTACATAATATGATTCTGATTAAATAATATCAGGCATGTAATGAACGAATGTCAAAGAAAACAAAAAAAAAACTTAAAAATATAATCTTTATTTTAATAATGTAAACGGAGTATAGTTATTGGTGCTTAAGTCTTTTTAGATACTGGCTTTTTCAAGGGAATGAGTCGCCGAGTGTTCGTACAAGACGATTCGTAATGAAAGTAGAAAATGTAGGTAGAAAACAAAATACAAATGTATTATTATTATAACTGACGTAAAATCTCTAACTTTAGTTGAATTTTGATTTTTGTTTGCTATTAAAGTATTTTGATCTTACGATGGCGGGTTGGTCTTACGAGTGCACGTGCGCATTTACATTGTTTTATTATGTGTAAGCTCAACAGTCAAAAGCTATTATTGAGTATCGTCTAAAAGGAAAGTAAACAAAGAAAATAACAGTTCCGTGGCTAAGCATTGAATTGAGACGTTAAGGGCTGTGAGTCCGATTCCTGCACGTAACAAGTATTTGCCTCCAATAATACAGATATGTAGATAGATACTGGAGAAACTCCTAATAACGTTTTCTTTAAAAAACAAAAAAAGTTGTTTACAGTGATGTAAGAATATATGTCCTAAGCAACAGAGCGTTAGTTTTATTGTAACGTTTAATAATGTGTTTCTAATTACTTAATGCTTGTTTTAGGTTTATTTATCCGTCTATTGATAGCTAGCGTAATATTTAGTAGAGTTATTTACAAGACTACGAATTCATGCAACGTTAGATTTTGATTTAAATGTAAATGAGTTTCTTTTGTTGTAAATGAAAAATAAATTTGTTTCATACATAGCTAAACGTACTAAGGTACCTAAGTTATATATTTTGTTAAATAACGACGGGTTGTCTAACGCTACCTCCACACAAGCTCAGGCGTGTAACACATCACAACTACAAGTAAGGCTCGCCCGCCTTTGTGAGATGAAACATCTATAAGAATTGTGTCATCATTGCCATAATCGAAATTAGTTTGCGCGAACACAAACACGGCTTTACTCATAAAAATCGATGTCAATTTAAGAAACGCTTAAAGTTGCTCACTCTCTACTAAATGACAATAGAAAGGAAAAGGTATAGAGATAATGTAACACGAAAGTCACACCCCACACGGAGCACTATGGGACCAAACGGTGCATTGAATCTCAAAAAACGTAACTTTTTTCACATTTTCATTTGAAATTTTGTATTTGTATTCCCGAATACTTATGTTGTTGGATAATTAAAACACCGCCACTTTGACAACTATTTATTAAGTTAAAAAAATGGCAGAAATATAATATTGAAAATTATCATACAAAAATTAATTACAAAAAATCGATTGAATTAGTTCCTACAAAATGTTACAGCATTTTACTGATACTGATTAACCAATACTGATTATTTATATTGGAAACAAGTGTTTTGTTGAATCCGCAAATGTCATCAAACGAGAATCGATAATTATTTTTTCCCTTCGGTCGACATTTTTGCTCCAGTAATGGCTCTTTTTTATTTCCTTGTATTACTGAGTAGTTAATGAATCTAAAAATGTCATTAACTTGACATCGGCAGTTATCGGCGTCAAGGAAACCTCACCTTGAAAATCAAAAAGACGAAGTTTCCTTATGACACTTAAACATTAAATTAAAAAAAAAAACATTCTCATAAAAACGTACTTGTAAACTAGAGATTTTAAGCTATCCAAAAATATGTAATACTTAAATATTTCTTTGAAGAACTTAGAAAATATCTTAAGTTGAACTTCCGTATGAGTAATCTATCATCATCATCATCATCAACAGCCCTTCACAAGTCCACTGCTGAACATAGGCCTCCCCCAAGTAATGCCACAAAGCACGGTCCTGAGCCACCTGCATCCATCGACTTCCTGCATATCTTACCAGGTCGTCACTCCATCTAGTGGGGGGTCGCCCTACACTACGCTTACCGGTACGAGGCTGCCACTCGAGAACCTTTCTTCCCCATCGGTTATCGGTTCTTCGAGCTATATGGCCGGCCCATTGCCACTTCAGCTTACTAATCCGTTGGGCTTTGTCGGTCACTCTGGTTTTACTGCGGATATCCTCATTTCTGAGTCTATCACGCAGAGAAACTCCGAGCATAGCCCTCTCCATAGCTCGCTGAGCGACCTTGAGCGTCCTCATACGGCCAGCAGTGAAGGACCACGTCTCTGATCCGTAAGTCATCACTGGCAACACGCACTGGTTATACACTTTAGTTTTCAGAGATTGAGGTATACCTGACGAGAAGATGTGTCGTAATTTCCCGAACGCTGCCCAGCCGAGTAATCTAATGAATACTAAATTATCGAAGTACAAAATTTGGATGTCATTTTACATACCTAAAATTGATTATTATTATTTTTTACTACTATACCGGATAGCTCTATCTTCTCAGAATATAAAACAAAACTTTTTCAGTAACACGACTTTTGTCCGAAACATTTTTGAGATGGAACGCAGCGTTTGGTCCCACAGTTGGGCGAGTCGAAACGACCACGCTATCCACACATGTGATGATGTGACTCTGTTTTTGTCCACCTTAATTGCCGGTTTAGTAGTATAGATAAAGTTCTGTTTTTTTTTTAGTGAAAATCTAACTTGAGTTTGCATGTACGTCGCTAAAAATGGTTGGTCGTGATGAACGAGATCGTTGAAAACGGAATCTACTGTATCCGCATTATTACTTAAGGAAATATTTTAACTTAGAGCTTTGTATATTCGCGCAAATGTGAAAATGTTTTTTGATTTGATTATCTATACATTAATTACTGTCAAGGGAAATTAGAGATTGGTTGTTATGGTATCTTAACGCCTAAAAATATTAGGAGTATGATTGTGTCACAAAGCTAATTTTTGTGTATATTATAATATATATAAAACAGACGAGAAAAAAATATAAGGACATTAAACAAGTGACTTTTTAATTTTTTTTAGATTAAATTGTGTATTTTTTTATAATTTGAGAGTATTATTTAAAAGAGAATCTATTAGAAAAGAATGTCCGAAGCCAGATGACGGTTAACGAATAAAACTGTTTAAAAATATATATTTCGTCTTTTATGATTTTTACCTATATATTAAGACTGATGTTACTTTAAATTGCATTAAAAAACAAATGTGAAAAGGCTGCTAAGTTAGGTATAGGTACAACGTTTGGGGTAGTCGGTTTCGCCGAAAGAAATTTGAACGGATGACAAACTCCTTAAAAATTCTAAGAACGTTGTACATTCCTATAGTCGATCCATATGATTTATGCAATTGTCCAGAGGCAGCTAGCTCTTGTAGCACCCGTGTACAACCACCCTAGCGCCCTCCAGTAGGTTCGCAGTCAAAATGGAATACAGTGCAGTTTTGAATGTTGCCGGAAGCAATACACGAGTGAAAAATATTCTTTAGGAAGGGGCTACAAGAATAAAAAGCACAACTTTGTAGTTATTTAAAAATATTTAAATTAGAAGCTAGTTACATTGCAGGACGCTCGTGATACAACAAAAATATATTTACAAAAAATTGCTTTTCGTGCTTTTGCATTAGCAAAATGTTTAAAAATGTCATTGTCTTCAATTTTAAATTCATGTCCGATACATACTCGTATTTTGTCGAATTACTTTGCGACAATGTTGATCTAAGTAAGATAGTTTTAATTATTTTAGTTTTAGAAAATTATCTTTCACTGTGTGCTACAGTGATTGGCAATGAGAGGTAAATTCTCAGTGCTGTGGACAGATTTGGGAATTGCCTCCACTTCTTCCGTAGCGGAAAAGAACTCCCCAAAAGGGGATTCATTACGGAATTAAGACATACTTATTTTTGCATAGTCAATCATTTTCACCGCTTCTGAATTTGAAGTGCCTTCTCTTGCTTAAAAGATGAATTTAAACGACTTAATTTTTGCCAGTTATTAATTTGCCATATTTCTTGACTCCGCTTCTTTGCTCCTATCGGTATATATGATAAATAACATTTATACACTTTTCAGATTAAAACGTATCTGGGGGCACGGCAGTGCCCCCGCCAAGTCGAGCAAAAAAGCGGCACCATACTTTTCTCGAAGCAATTCAGGCCATTTTCGACCCCCTATAACTTCGTAATG